GGCCACATGTAAACATTAATTTCAGAATTTCTAATTTTCTTTTACGAAATTTCTTGTTGATGACATATATTGTTTTTTAGTTTTTACCAGATGAACATGGCTTCAAAATACTTTTACCCACCGAATTCTTGCTCTCCTCATCAACTCCAATGATTTCAGTTACCTGCAGTTTCAAATTTTAGTGATTCAAATTGGGACACGGTGACCTTGTTGCTGGCATCCCTGAATGCCCCAAATCCTCCACATGGACTTACTTACTATTGGCATGAGTTTTTAGGTAGCAGATTAGGAAATTCAATCAAACAAATTCCCCATATCAAGGGATTACCATATTTTCAGCTTACAATCTTGTATAATCTAAATTAGGATTATATCTCTTCCTATTTTAAGTGTATGCTACCATTGTAACGAGAAGTATCAATATGGATAGAAATTGGCTTACCGTGTAACATGGCATCAGAGCAGCCAATTGATCCTTGGCTCCTTTCTCGCCAAAATACCTAACTTCCCCATCTAGACATTTTCTCAAATACATGGCAGACACCGGAACCGTCTCCAACCCAGGCAATTCTATCCACAATCCCGAATCTGCATTCCAAGAATTCCCAAACAAAATGGCAAAAGCTCTATCCAAAATCCAACTTCAACCATCGAAAATTCAACCCCAATTGGCATTAAATTGGATGGTTCCAACTACTCACTTTGATCTCAAGTTATGGAGATGTATATCCCCGGAAAGGACAAACTTGGCTAATTGAATGGCGGTTGAGAACCGACAATGCCATCATGAAAGGGTGGTTAATTAATTCTATGGATTCAACCCTGATTGGAAACTTCATCAAATTCCCCACGACAAAAGAGGTTTGGGATGCTATTGCGACCACCTACTTCAATGGCAATGACACTTCACAAGTGAATGAACTCTGACAACGAGTGACCTGACTGAAACAATCGGGTGGCTGTTTGGAAAAATTTGATACAGACTTGCAAGGCCTGTGGCGGGAAATCGACTTCCGTCGTCCAAATCCAATGGAGTGCATGACAGCTATCCAACACTACAACAAAATGCTTCAAGTAGACCGCGTCTGCACCTTCTTGGACGGACTCGATGACCACCTCGACGGCATTTGTAGCGGTGTACTATAGATGAAGCCATTCCCTTATGTCAAACAAGCTTACGCCCATGTTCGCAGGAGGCACTTCGATAGACGATGATGACCGCCAACGACTTTGACGGCTCCTTCAGTGCTATTTTGGTCACTAAAGGACTCAAACTGGGTCCGGCTACTGGGTCGACTTCTATGGGCCTTAGCAGGTCGCAAGGCACAAATAAAGGAGGTGATTTTGAGGGAGCTAAATGTTCTTACCGTGGAAATAAAAGGTACAAACGTGAAAATTGTTTTAAACTTAACAGGCAACATAATTGGTGGCATGAGCTGCAGGCAAAAAAAAGAAAATAAAAAAAACACTGGTGGACATATAGGCAAAGCAATGGTGGTAACAGTTGAACTTTAGTTATCTTTGATACCGATCTATGCTGAATCTCTGAAAAATTTGGATTCTACTTCGGATTTAGAAAATTTTGGTTCCGCATTATTACCGCCACCAAGGACAATGCTAGTTGTGCCTGACTACTTGACTTTGGGACCAATGATCATATGATATATGATGCAAAAGATTTTACTCAGAAATCCATATCTCGACGCACTAGTGTGGCAAATGCGAATAGGGTCATTTCCCTGATTACAGTGGCCGGCCCGATTTCTTTGTCTCATTCTCTACATTTATCTCGTACTTGTGCCTTTACTTTCGCATAAATCACTTTCTGTTAGTCAAGTTACTACTGAACTAAATTGTGCAGTACTCATTTATCCTACATTTTGTCTTCTTCAAGATATTCTCACCAAGGAAATACTTGGGCATGGTACTAAGAAGGGGAATTATACTACATGGAAGACTTCAGTGTGGGACACGCACATTACATACAAAGTAATGGAAGGGAACGATAGATTTGGCTCTGGCATCGCCGCTTGGGACATCCATCAATCAGCTATTTAAAACATTTACTACCTAGTCTTTTTTCAAATGTTATGAGTTTTTACTTTAAATGTAATACTTGCATTTTGGCAAAAAGTCACTATACTTCTTATCCGTTGAGTAAGCATAAAAGTAGTATTCCATTTGCTTTAATTCATTTTGATTTATGAGGTCCTTCTCCTATCTCTGTTGGATCTAGGGTTTGTTACTTTGTCATCTTGTTGATGGTTGTACTCGCATGACCTCGATGGGGACTTACTAAAACACAAGGATGAAGATGATTCAAACTTAATTCTCTGCCAAGCTCCAAGTTATACGCTCCAACAATGGCTGAGAATATGATAATCGGCTCTTCCATACCTACTTTAAATGCCATGGTCTTGTTCATGAGAAGATATGCCTCCAAACCCCTCAGCAAAATGGCATTGCTAAGCCAAAAAACCGCCATATTCTTGAGACTGCACATGCTTTACTCCATGGAGCCCATGTTCCAAACAGTTACTGGCCTAATGCAGTATCCACGGCTGTACATTTACTCAACTGGATGGTTTACAAAGTCTTAAATTTTAAAACTCCATTACAGGTCCTAGCATCTCATGTCACTATACCTATAATATTAATGCTCTCCCCGAGTGTTTGGCTGCGTAGCATATGTGCACATTCACAAAAGTTAACGAATGGAAGTTGATCCTTGCACTCTCCACTGTATCTTCTTGGGCTATGGTGTACACCATAAAGGTTATTGGTGCTATGATCTCTCTACCAAATGCACATATGTGACTATGGATGTCACATTCCTAGAATCAAATATTTTTTTCTCCCCGATTACCAATTCTCCTATTCAGGGGGAGACATACAATGAATAGAAAAATTGGTTGCACTTTGACTGGCCGAAAATTGAAACAGAGCTAGATAAATTGACGGAGCCAAATGCACTGAGTATTGATCAATCCACAAAACTGGATGCACATTCGAGAGGTGATATATCTATAGAAGCTAAACCAAACTCCCCTTTCCTCAATATCTACAAACCCATCTCCTGACAATATCCCTAAGGTAAGCACTCTTGACACACCCTCCAATATAAATGACGTGGATAACACTGCTGGATACACAAACTGGTGAATACTCCAATTGCACAAAATCACCATCTTGGGGAACATCCAGACCAAGTTCCAACGGATAACGGAAGGTATCAAAATTAGTTGGTAAGCTAATATACTTCTCCCATACTCATCTTGACATTGCATATGCTGTATGCGTGGTTAGTCAATTCATGCATAATCCTAGTAAAGATTAGATGGATGCTGTGACCCGAATAATTTGGTACCTAAAATCCTTACAAGGAAAAGGACTTACGTTTTCAACAAATGCTACACAGATACAAATCGTGGCCAGAAACATATAAGACAAAAAATCCACCTCCGGCTACTTCACCTTTGTTGGCGGGAATCTTATTACCCGAAGAAGTAGGAAACAAAAAGTGGTGGCACTATCAAGTGTCGAAGCCGAATTTCGTGGAATGGCTAAAGGACTTTGTGAGCTCCTCCAGATCAACAGGTTACTTATAGAAATTTGCTTCACCCATACTTCTAAGATAGATTTATTTTGCGACAACAAAGTTGCTATTGCTATAGCTCACAACCCAGTTCAATATGATCGGGCAAAACACGTAAAAGTGGATCAACACTTTATCAAGGAGAATTGGATGCAAAAATTATTCGATTCCCATTTGTGAAATCTGAAGATCAACTAGAAGATATACTCACAAAGGCAATATCAAGCAAAGATTTTCACAACTCACTCAACAAGTTAAGCATCAGAGACCTAAATGCAACAATTTGAGGGGGAGTATTGGCGTGTACTGTTAGGTAGTAGATTAGGAAATTCAATCAAAACAACTTCCCCATATTAAGGGATTACCATATTTTCAGACTACAATCTTGTATAGCCTAAATTAGGATTATATTTATTCCTATTTAACTGTATGCTACCATTGTAATGAGAAGTATCAACATAGACAGAAATTGGCTGACCGTGTAACACTTACTCACAGAAACCAACTGGGAGGTTTTGTGACTGGGCATATTCATATATCCTTTAAGTAAATATTTCCCAATAAAAATTATGTTGCATTTCCAAAAAATACAAAGAGACAAATTCTGCTATTTTTCCCCCTGACTTCAGCTTCTCCCTTTTTTAATTTTTCTAGTTAAGATGTATTTGTTTTCAGTTCAGAAATGCTGCAGCCTGCAACGACTGCTTTACATGTTTCATATTTATTAATGCATACAGAGATCTCACTCTATTAATGATTTAGTTATTGAGGTATTCTTCTCCAGAATAATGCATGGTGGAAAGGTAAGGATAAAATTTGTGTGTTCATCTAACTTTATATTTTCTTGTAGCATAAATGCATTCCCCATATATGTGTGTTGAAGTTTCAAGGTTCCAATCAACAACTATTGGTTTCACAAAAATACATAAATGGGTTTTATAAGAGATCTTGGTCCATGATACTTTCATTATATCATGTTACTACAATTTATGTCTGATTGAACTTCCAGACTTATGACTTTCAATGTCCACAGAAAATTCTTAATGATAAGAATCATCTAAGGTTACTGATTGGAATGAAAGCTAAATGGACCTTGCATGAAACGAAAATGAGAAAGAAAAAAGAAAGAAGTTCAAGTTGATGTTCTATTTTGCCAATTCAAGGTTATAAATATTAAGAATTCCACATGAAGATTTGGAGAACATTTTATACATTCGCTCAGCTCTAAGAGATATAAAAAATCCAGATAAGAAAAAGATGTAATAATTTCATTTCTTTGAGACATAAGCATAGTATTGTGCCATAGGAACAACAAAAGCAATCACTAACAAACCTCCAACTACAAGTGTGAATTGCCCTCGTTTCTCCTCTGTCTCTTCCCTGGTTTTGAAGTTAGATTCTCTTTTGTTGTCCTTCAACTGGGGGCCACCAGTATCAGGAAGCCTGTCAATGGCAGCTACAAGCCGTTTAGCAGCACTAAATAGTGCTTCATTGTACTTCTCTTCCGTGGCTAGGACTACAAAAGATAATTCAATAATATCATTGAGGATACTCTTAAGATGTCATTGTTAATGATTTTATAGTATTTCAAACACTTGCTTAAATATGTGCGCCGATATAATCCATGTAAAGATCGATTTGTACGACTAGAGAAGTAGAAGCCAATACAGTAATTGCCAGCAATAGCCCATCAGAGGCATCACATGTTTTCAGATTTCAATTCTCCCATAGTATTATCAGTAATGTAAAGAATGAAAATCCACCTAGGCAAATTCCATCCACCAGGAGTATAGAGAAATGCACTAAAAGTCAATTATCTATGCACAGTTGACCACAATATCCAGTGTTAAGTGTAACCTCCCCGAATTGGTTGAATATCATCATTTATCTACTAAAAGAGGAGAAAACTCTCTAAGCACTTTTATAGTAGTTGAAGAATTTCCGAAGTCACATGTTGATGTCTTTCCACGATATCCTCTTAATGCTGCTAGTTTCATCCAGCAACAAAAAGGATTCACGGAATTTCAAAGTGTCGTCAAGCATAAACACGTCCATGAGAAGTGTGAACCTATGTACTCAACTATCTATTCCTATAAACAAGATTTTAGCACACTCATCACAATTTGGATATAATAGAAGAGGACTCGATACCTGGAAGATTCTCCGATACAGTGGCATCAAGAATGGCATCGCCAACAGCCTTGACAAAATCAGGGCCACCTGTAACTGCACCTTCCTTTTGACTGGTAATAAGTACAACTATTCCCTTGTTGGAGCCTTCTTCTACGGTTGGATACCAGCGTTCAAGAACTTGGTCAGCATACTCAAATGCATCGGCTTTGCTCTTTGGCAAAGAACATGAACAAGTCAGTGTTGAAGACTAAATTTAAACAACTAAAGGTGGCCCCTTTCTAACAATTTATACTTCTTAGTTACACACATGTCATGGTTTCCATTGGGGTGTATGGGCACCTAATCCCACGTCGGAAGTTTAGGCTGAAGATGTGGGCTTTATAACCCTTTGAGCACTCTTCCCTTAATAGCTAGCTTTTGAGGATGAGTTCTACACAAGGGATTGTGATATTGGTATCAGAGCAGGCACCACGAATGGTGACGTCGGCATTGCAGTGTTCGTCCGGGACTAGTCAACGGCTAGTGCACAGCCATGTCTTCCGGCTCGGGGAAAGCTTAGGGTGTATGGGCACCTGTTGGACGTGGACGTCGAGTCGGAAGCTGTCATGGTTTCCATTAGAGTGGATGGGCACCTAATCCCACATCGGAAGTTTAGGCTGGTTTCCATTAGGGTGGATGGGCACCTAATCCCACATCGGAAGTTTAGGCTGAAGATGTGGACTTTATAACCCTTTGGACACCCTTCCCTTAATAGCTAGCTTTTGAGGGTGTGTTCTACCCAAGGGGTTGTGACAACACTTCGCCTCCCATTTATGCNAAAAAAAAAAAAAAATAAAAGAAGAATCTAGCCTGCAAGTGAGAGCGAGTTGAAGACTAAATTTAAATGAATAAATGTGTTCCCTTCCTAGACATTCTTAGATCTAAAACCACCCGGCAACAACTTTATCGCAGTACACACATTCACAGAATCTAATTCATTCCAATAAGAGATATTAATCCTGACAACAACAACAACAACACATGCAGCAAAACAAATAGAAACACTTACAGTGAGCTTGCGGACAGTGACAAAGTTAATGTGGTAGCCTTTTCTTGACTCCAAATCCGACAACAATCTCTTCAAATCAGACTTCGTCACACGATTGAGCACACCTGCATCATCAACGACGTATGTATCCTTTGGAGGACCATCATTTAAAACATCAAATTCAGATGCTAATGCAGCTTCATTAGGCAGTATTGGGCAAAAGTTTAGTGCCAAAGAAATGGCAAGTGCTGCTAATCCGTGATGCACTTGAGAAAACCAACTTGTGGGTGTGATAAAAGATTTTTCAACAGATTGTTTTCTGAGGGTGCAGCAAATGGGTTTGAGCCAAGAACTTGATTTGGGTTGAATAGAGGGAGATGAAAAAGGAGGAGCCTTGAAAAGTGGACAGAAAGAGTGAGGGAAGAGACTGGTTTCCATTGAACGATTGAAGAGAGAGAGAGAGAGAACGGGAGATGAGCACAAATGGCGAGAAGACTTTGATCACAGGAAGTGTTTCTATTTCTTTTTTTCCTTTTTTTTTTTGGATTTCAATTTTCTTGGGTTTTTGTTTGGTTCATATTTTCGTGGATTTGAGATTTTTTTTTTAAGTTTTTTGGACGGATGGTTGGTTGGATTTAGACGAGGATAACGTATAGTCGTCATCAAACATGGTAATAATGAAATGAAAAATACATGGGTATTTTCGTAGTTTCTGTTTGAACCACGTTCTCATTTTCATTCTTATTTTTCTACTCATTTTCAATCACAGATTTTTCAATAAAATAATATTTTTCATCATATCAATAAATTTTCCTTCTTTTTTAACCACATATTCATCATCACATCACAAAAAAAAATGCATTGTCTCCTAAAAAATATGCATTAAACACACACTGATGTTTCTTTTTAACATGATTGTTTCACAAGTGGGGCAAATTTGATCTTTGAAACTGCTTTTAGTGGGCTATTTATATTCTGTTGGTATTTACAGTCCCAAAATTACCAAAGAATAACAATGAATAAACCACAACACAAAGAATTTTCGCCTTAAAGCCCGGATGTTCACCACAAAATGGCTACTCACCCGTTGAGCATACACCGGAGTGATTATCGCTCTAATCCACTAGAATCCAACAAAGTTTATCAAGTACAGATCAGAGAC